CCCTTATCCCTCCCCACCCGTATGTATCCCTGGGCCCCCACACTCCCCTGCCCTACTCCCCCCCCCATCCTCCTGCCCTGGGCCCCCATGCACTAAGGATGTTAAGCAGCAAGTAAATGACTAATTGTGTACTCAATACAATTTGTATCGAGTACATGATTAGTTGATAAATGGCCGCTGCGGCTCTGCAGTTTAAATGTAATAGGAGCCGGGCGGGCAGGCGGCCTGGCTCCGGGCCGGGGGCGGAGCCAGGACTGAAGCAGTCCCGGCTTGTGCCAGGTCCAGACTGCTGCGGCTCTGCCTTTTAAATGTAGTAAGAGCTGCCTGGCTCGCTCTACATTTAAAAGGCAGAGCCCCAGTATCGCTGTGCCTCTGCTGCGCCTGCCTCCCTCCCCTGCACCGTGGAGCTCCTCCCAGGACCAGCTCCTGCCCCCCCCCGGCTGCCTCTGATATAGAGGCAGTAAGGGGGGGGGGGAGAATGCGAGTAGTCGACTCAACTACCAGATAGGCCTAGGCTTATCGGGTAGTCAGCTAATTGACTCTCTTTTACATCCCTACCATGCACTAAATGCAACTATCCTCTATTCTTGAGGGACCTTGTTGGCCACCCTAGTGTCAACCCAGTTGTGGAAGCTCATTCACTTAAATTTGGCTTCTGTTGAAGTAAGTGCCTCTCTGTGCTGATTTAGTAACACCACCTCCCTGAATAGTGTAGAGACACAGTCAATGTAATGAAGTCACTGCAGGGTCAATATAGACACTGCATCGCTTATGGTGACTGTTCCTGGCTTTCAGGATCCATCCCACAATGCCCCTCACTGACAGTATCGTCCATCCCAGCGCTCGTGGTGAGGGACATGCACTGCCAACACAAGAAGCCCAGTGTGTGCATACACAGGCAGTTTAAAAATGGTGGTGGCTGTGTGCCAGTGTAAGGTTGACATAATTTTGTGGGGCAGACATGGCCTGGAAGACAGGGTGCCTGGGGTGTCTTCCCAGCTTTGCCCCGAAGTGGCCATGTGACTTAGGGAAAGTCATGTTACTTCTCAGTGCTTCAGATTCCCCATTTGCATATCTACTGCTTGCTAGGGGATCTTCAGAGGAATAATACTTCACTGATAGTGCAAGGCATTATTATATTACTCCTTACTTCTGGCACTTTCTGGTTGTATCTGTTGACATAATGGCGCCTACAGGGAAGAGTGTTTGTGTGTCTGTGGCAAATGACGATGAACCTTGGCTGGTTGTGCTGGCAGACCTCAAATGAGAGACACGGCTAACTCTCTGGCTCTTGTCCTGTTCTGGTCGGTTAGCAGTCACATCTACTCCCTTTTCCCTGAGAATCTGCTTTCCAGCACTGAACTGTATGGTGGGGGTTAGTCTGAGCACTGACCTTTTAATTACAGTC